GCCGAGAGCTGAGGCTGTCCCGCCGGTGATCAACTCCGCCACTGCCTGCAACCTGCTCCTGCTGCTTGCTCACACCCACCCTGCTGTGCTGCCTGCAGGCCTCCCTTTCACAAGGACCTGGGCTGTGCCTAGCAGCTCCCTGTGTCGCTGAGGACCGTCCTGTTCCCCGCACAGCCTCCAGAGCTTCCCGGGCTCCCTTGATCGCATGAATGGGCTTCCTCTGGTGACTCAGGCTCCCTCTCTGTCCCTTCCTGGACTTCAGTGCAGGCCCTGGGGCTGGGCAGGTGAGCACCCAGCACCCTACTCAACCGCTACCTCTAAGGCTTCAGGCTTACAAGAGTGTGTGCGACATGGCTGAGGCACAAGGCCACCACCAGGAGCTTTGCATCCCCCGTGTGTGGTGCCGGCCACGATTAGCAACAATGTCCTGCGGCATGTGAAATAAGTCAGCACAGACACTGGCCTGAATGCTGTTGTCCAGGTAAGAGAACCCCGTTTCTCCCATTGCTTTATTTTAGCAACTTGCTTCTTCCAGCTAAGAATGAGCCAGATTTATTATTACTCTTTTCCTCCAACCCGTTGCTGGGGCTTGGCTTTATGTCGGTCACACTGGCCGAACGGGTAAATTTTTAAGGCTCTCTGCCTTAGGGTGAGCCTATCTTTATTGATTGAAAGTGAGATGATATATCCAGTCCTTGGGGTCCTGTTTCTATGCCACCTAGACTAGGGGAGCGTTAGCACCATTTCTCTGGAGCCTGCCTCTCCTGCCTGCGTTGACTAGCGAGGCTGCAGGGCCAGCTGTGGGAGCCTGCAGGAAGGGGTTTGAGTGCCTGGTACATACGAGCTCTGGGACAGAGCCGTGCCCACTGGGGGCCGCTGCCTGGAACCATAGCCTTCCTGGTGAGATGAGAGGTTCTTTAGAGAGCTGAAATCATGCCCTCCTCGGCAGGCAGCTTCACCAACATGTGCTGTGGGGGGAGTGGATTCTGCCGGTCATGGGTGTGGTGCTGACACCCGCATGGTGGCCCCTCCAGTCCCTGATAAGCTGATCCACCTCTATGGTCAGGTAGTTCCACAGGCCTTTGCTACAGAGAGGGTCCTCACTCAGCTGCAGACGGGATGGTGGCCACCTTGGCACGTTGGGGTCACGTCAGTGGCTTGGCCGCCTGGCGCCTCCTGGAGAGCAGCCGCTGGCCTTTACCTTAGATGTTCACATCCAAAAGGGCTCCAGAGTTTGTGATGAAAACTCCCAGCCCTGTTGGAGACTCCTTAGTTCAGCTTGGCACAGAACCTCGGAAAACAGTAATTCTGTTCCGGGTTCTTCTTTCAGAACTGAGTTCCAGTGCAGGGAAGGGAGCAGAGGGGCCATGAGGTCGGCTGAAGCCTCCTGTGCCTCCCGCTTGAGCTGAGGGCCATCTCTCTCCTGGGCTTCTCCCGGTTGCGTTCCCTAGTGCTATGCTGGCCTTGCCGAGGCTGGCCCCGGCTCATTTCCTGGACTTCCTTGGGCCCCACGCTTGACTCCTGTTCGTTGAATGCCATTAGGGTCCAGTCATCGCTGGCTTCACTCTCCTTTAGCACCTTGTAGATGCCCACACATGCTTCCACCCTCGCACCCCGCACGTGGTGCAACATTACCCCGGCCAGCCAATTTTTTGGTCAGACACTGTTTATCAGGCCATCATAGGAGATTCCATAGAAAGGCCACAGGTCGAAGAGGCTGTTACTCCCAATCACGCAGGGGCCGTGGCTCTACACCCCTCCTGTGATACTGTTAATATCCTAGGGAAGAGAGGATGATAGTACACCCAATATCGCAGGGGGTGTACCCCCACCCAGTGATACTGTTCTTAATGTACTCCACCCCCCACCACCAGGGATATCATTCCTAATACCCGGGGGACGAGAGGATAACATTATACCCAATATTGCAGGGCAGTGTACACACCCTCTGTGATGTTGTTCCTCATATCCAAAGGTAGAGACGATGATATTACTGGCCATATCACAGGGGGTGTACACCCTTCTTTGATATTGTTTTTGGTATTCAGTGGGGGAGAGGATAACATTAATCCCAATATCGCAGGTGTACAGACCCCTGTGATGTAGTTCCTACTGTACAGGAGAAAGAGAAGAATATTGCTCTCAGTTTCGCAGGCCGTGTAGCCATCCTGCCCCCCGAATATTGTTCCTAATATGTAGCGGGGTGGAGGCTGATAGTACTCCCAATATCCCAGAAGGTGTACACACACCTGTGATAGAGTTCCTAATATCTAGCGGGAAAGAGGCTGATTTTACTTTCGATATCGCAGTGGGTGTACACCGCCCCCAACCCTGGGGTATCGTTCCTAATATCCAGGCGGGAAGAAGATGACATGGCTGACAATATCGAAGGGGGTGGACAATTCTTCTGTGATATGGTTCTTCTTATCCAGGGGGTGAGTGGATGATATTACTCCCAATAAAGTAGGAATCTTACAGCCACCCTGGGATTTTGTCCTTAATATCCACAGGGGAGAGGTGATATTATTACCAATATTGCAAGGGGTGTACACCCCTCCTGTGATATTGTTTCTTATATCCAGGAAAGGAGAAGATGGCGTTACTACCAATATTGAAGAGATGTACAACCCCCATGGGATATTGTTCTAAAGATACATGTTGAAAGAGGTTAAAATTCCATCCAATATAACAAGGGATGTACACCCCGCCTGTGATATGCATGGTAAAACCTAGAAGAGAGAATGACATTGCTTCCAAAAACACACGGCGTGTACACCCACCCTGTGATATTCTTCCTGTCATCTAAAGGAAGAGATGATGATGCTACTCCCACTACCAGAGAAGGTACACACCCCTGTGATATTGTTCCTCATAACTTGTGGGCGAGAGCATGATATTACTTCCAGTATGACAGTGGCTTGACAGCCAGTCTGTGACATTGGTTCTGCACACCAACTCTGTGCCCCTCATTTCCCATGGGTTCTCTCCTCACTATTGGAACCTCTGGGGAGGCTTTGTCTTTGGTTACAGATGAAGAGATGAAGGGTCTGAGAGGTTAAGTTAGTTACTGGAAAGGGGTCCTGATCCAGACCCCAAGAGAGGGTTCTTGGATCTCACAGAAGAAAGAATTTGGGGCAAGTTCATAAAGTGAAAGCAAGTTTATTAGGAAAGAAAAGAATTAAAAGAATGGCTACTCTGGCCGGGCGCAGAGGCTTACTCCTGTAATCCCATAACTTTGGGATGCCGAGGCAGGTGGATCATCTGAGGTGAGAACTTCGAGACCAGCCTGGTCCAACATGGCAAAACCCTGTCTCCACTAAAATACAAAAGATTAGCTGGGTGTGGTGGCAGGTGCCTGTAGTACCAGCTACTAGGAAGGCTGAGGCAGGAGAATCGCTTGAACCCAGGAGGCGGAGGTTGTAGTAAGCCAAGATCACGCCACTGCATTCCAGTCTGGGCAACCTCCAAAAAAAAAAAAAAAAAAAAAGAATGGCTGCTCCATAGGGAGAATGGCCCCAAAGGCTGCTGGTTGCCCATTTCCATGGTTATTTCTTGATCATACACTAAACAAGGGTTGGACTATTCATGAGTGTTCCAGTAATTCCCAAAACTGTGAGTTTCTGTCCTTTCCTTTTTAGACCATGTAGGGTAACCTCCAGATGTTGCCATGGCATCTGTAAACTGTCAAGGCGCTGGTGGGAGTGTCTTTTAGCAGCTAATGCATTATAATTAACACATAATGAGCCATGAGGACAATCAGAGGTCACTCTCGTGGTCATCTTGGGTTTGGTGGGCTTTGGCTGGCTTCTGTACTGCAACCTGCTTTATCAGCAAGGTCTTTATGACCTGTATCTTGTGCCGACCTCCTATCTCATCCTGTACTAAGAATGCCTAGCCTCCTGGAAATGCGGCCCAGCAGGTCTCAGCCTCCCTTTACCCAGCCCCCATTCAAGATGGAGTTGCTGTGGTTCACGTGCCTCTGACAAGTTGGCGTGGGTTGAATGTTCTCTAGTGTGTGGTTGTTGGAGCTGTTCCTAGGAGTAAGAAGTATTGTCAGTAGGAAATAGGCCTCTATTAGCCCTGGGGCTGGCAGTCTGCCCCAGTAGGTCGACCTCATTTTAGTGACCAAACTGGGGCTCAGAGAAATCAACTCCCTCACCCCGCACCCCCAGACTGTGAGTGGTGGGCTGGGGTTTGAATGTGGGGCTTGAAGACCCATCATCTCCTCTGGTCCCCCAGTCTCTGCTGCCCAAGAGGAACAGGATCCCAGGATCCAGGCCCCTCATGGCACCAGCCAGGGTGGGTGGAGATGGGGAGGCAGTTCTAAAGCCCCCTGGACTCTGAGGCAGGTCGGGGGCCAAGAGCAACCCGGACCTGCGGCCCCCACCCCGAGAAGAATGGCTGCAGGCTCGGCCCAGCGGGCAGGTCTGTGTCCTCAGTAAACGCGACGGCGCTTCCCGCTGCTCCAGCCAGGCCGAGCCGTCTTCATGTTTCCAATCATGCGGCCTCCAATTCCCAAGCTCAACCCACAGAGACAGCGATCTAGGGTCAACATGAATGAGGCTTGTCAGCAGGTCTGACCCACTGCTTCCCGCCAGCCTCGCGGCCGGTTCTGGAAAGCTCTCTGCTGCCCCCTGGTGGGGAGGCTCGGTGCACGGCTCTGGCTGCAAGCATGGGGCTCCCCTGTGGCGCTCCCAGAACCTCCAGGCTCTGTCACCTCTGCTGGGTGGAAAACCAACCCAGGACTGAAGCAGCAGATGGGTGCCTGATTCCTTCTCAGAGCTCTGCCCACTGGCAAGTCTCTCTCCGGGCCTCAGTTTCCCCTTTCATTAAACGAGGGGCTTGGGGGATACCAAGGAGGGGTAACTGCTTAGTAACGATGGGAGGTTTCTTCTGGGGAGATGAATATATTTTGAAACTAGATGGCCTGAGTGGTTGCACAGGACTGTGAATGCACAAATGCCACCACATGATTTGTGTTGAA